GTGTGTTTAGAACCTAATAAGATAACTTATAAATACCAGCTATCCCTCCTAGGACAGAGATTTGCGAACGACTTCCAATAAGAAATAACTTAGTGTAATAAATAGCAAAATTTAAGAAGCATAATTGCTACGCCGTAACGCTATTGTAAAACCACATTGATATTTACCACCATCCTGCCTTTTTTTGCGGCAAAGCAGTCATGGGTTCCGATTTAAACCACGGAATAGCTTGAATAACAAGTATTCTTTGCCTTGATGCCAGTGTTGAAAAATGAACTGAAATAGTCCTAAGACTGACCAGATTATTGGGTAGTCCATCACATTATGCAAAAACAAAATATTAAAAGAAAAATGTGATAATAACAAGTTATAAACTCAAAAGTTTCATTAAAATTCTTTCAGTTATTTGTAAACACGGCGAAACAGCCAAACATAATCAATTATACATCTGAGCTCTATATTGTGTTTTTTTTTTTTGTAAATATTTTAGATTTACGAACCTCCTTTACATGGTTAGTCAAATAGAAAAACATAATAGTTTCATATTTGTCTAAAAATAAATTCGTAGTTTTGATAAATCGATGGCTTACGGACAGGCGACAAGGAATGAGAGAGTGCTTTTCTCTCTCCGCACCGTCATCGTCGACATCGAGTTGGGATCAGGATAGAGATTTCACTCGAATCCTGATCCTCTTAAGTATTTCGGGTATTTCGGGTGCTTAAACGTCTTGGGGACCGTCGAGGGACACCCAGGAAGACGACGTGTAAGGTAGTTAGCGGCTCGGCACTCCCGTGATATTGCTGACGTCCATACCACTAACCATCAGTTGGGCCGTATGCTCGTCTGCCAACATGGGCATTAAAAAAAGGTACTTTATACACATCTTGCGAAGCCATGTGATGGATGACCGCACTCCCCGACATACACTGGATTTGGCCCAACGGGGTACATACATATTTTATAATATATATAAACATAACCAAAAATCTAACTCTTTCTCTTTAAAACATTAATTCACAGACAACACACACTTTTGTAATCGTACTACTACAAGTAGATATAGTTTTGAAAATAGTAAATGCGAAAATAACGCATTTTTTGTCAAAATCGTCTAATTCTAAAATACGAATCATGCTAATTCAGATATGACAAATTTAGTTTATTCATAGAGGTAGTTTGTGTTACGGTCAAGATCCACAAGGTCGAGGCGAGTATGTGAACTTGTAGTTTGATCGATAACTTGCCCTTCGTGTCATGAACAATGCCGTTCGAACACAAAGAATAATTATAGACTTTAAATGGACATTGCATGAATATCGGGACGTATCTTTTTTGTTTGTGGAATACAGTCGGCCTAGTGGCCCACATGACAGTCCGTTTTATCACCGCTCTTGATATTGACAGTTCTATAGACCCGAGCATTCCCTGGTACAACCAGACTATCGCCTACATTAATTGTTTGTGATAGTTAGATACTTTGCGTCTCCTAGATTTTTTTCTTAATATAACTAGTCAGGTCATAAGTATTGTCACACAGTAAAAACTTTTCTTTTAGAATGCTGGCCACAAAAAAGTTTATTGAATTCGAATTTCGAATTGTTCATGAAAATAAAAATGTATACTTTTAGAATTTTACTCAATTTTAAATATGGAGTGGACTCTTAGAGAAGACCGTGTTGCAGTTATAGCGTTGCATCGTTGCGGTTACGCGCCATGAAAAATTTGAATATAACCAAAAGATTCGTTTATCGTACCATCAAACGATACAATGAAGACTCTAGTTTAGATGACAGGTCAAGAAGTGGTCGCCCTCGGTCTGTTAGGACTCCAGCAGTGATAAAAGATGTAAAGGCGCGAATTCAAAGAAATTCCAAACGTAAGCAGAAACTGTTGGCCCTTCAGATGGGCTTAAGCAGAACCACGGTGAAAAGGGTATTAAATGAAGACTTAGGGCTTCGGGCATAACGAAGAAAAACAGGACATCGTTTGAATGCTCGTCTAATGGACCTGAGACTGAAGAGATGCTGCGCTTTGTTGAAGCGGTACGCGGGAAAAAAATATCGGGAAATTCTTTTTTCGGATGAAAAAATTTTTACCGTAGAAGAGAGCTACAACAAACAAAATGATAAGGTGTACGCACACAGTAGTGAAGAAGCGAGCAACCNTTTGTCGGCAGATGTACCACGAACACAGAAACAACAAAAGGAAACAAAACAAATAAAAAATTCCAGAAAGAGCACTTAGTCGGCAGATGTACCACAAACACAGGCCGCGCGAACAATGGCCGGGCTAACAAAAGCCGGGCGAACAAAGACCGGGCGATCGAGTGGACGATGAGCACGTCCGCACGTGACGGGTGCCTCTATCGGAATGAGATTCTTTCAATTCGTGTTACGTTTCAAACGAATAAAAAATTTCGAGGATATTTCACACACACTTAGTTTTATTTAAATTTAAAGATAGCTAGTGTGTTTAATGTGGCATTATGTATATAGAGCCATTATAGTTGACGTGTTCATCAAATATGAATCTGCTGTCACGAACAATGCTTAAATCACATTTACTAATAAGTTTAATTGGTTCACGTTCTTTTAGTGTATATTTAAAGATCAAATAGATTAACTTTTCTACGAGTAGTATAAGTATCAAAATGATATTTTATTGCGATTTATTACGGTTCAATTCAGATTGCATGAACTTTGGATCGTAGATTGAAGGAATTTTCATAAAAAAATTATGTCATCAGTGAAGCAGAGAAGGCGTGAGAAATGAAAGCACTTAATGATGTCATTATTACAATACAATATTTTTCTTTGGATAATGAAGTGGGCCCCCGAGGCCCCGCTTTCCGGGCCCCATGAACTAACAAAGCCTGGGATTCATTGAGCACCACCTTGAGACCCAGCCTTCGGCTGCTGCCGACGTCAAAGGCCACCCCCGCGCAGAAGACGGGTAGACTCGATATAATCCTTCCTAGCAAACTACGCTCAAGCTCCCAAGATCAGTGCGAAGGATACCCCAGAGGACCAATGGTGTGTTTAGAACCTAATAAGATAACTTATAAATACCAGCTATCCCTCCTAGGACAGAGATTTGCGAACGACTTCCAATAAGAAATAACTTAGTGTAATAAATAGAAAAATTTAAGAAGCATAATTGCTACGCCGTAACGCTATTGTAAAACCACATTGATATTTACCACCATCCTGCCTTTTTTTGCGGCAAAGCAGTCATGGGTTCCGATTTAAACCACGGAATAGCTTGAATAACAAGTATTCTTTGCCTTGATGCCAGTGTTGAAAAATGAACTGAAATAGTCCTAAGACTGACCAGATTATTGGGTAGTCCATCACATTATGCAAAAACAAAATATTAAAAGAAAAATGTGATAATAACAAGTTATAAACTCAAAAGTTTCATTAAAATTCGTTCAGTTATTTGTAAACACGGCGAAACAGCCAAACATAATCAATTATACATCTGAGCTCTATATTGTGTTTTTTTTTTTGTAAATATTTTAGATTTACGAACCTCCTTTACATGGTTAGTCAAATAGAAAAACATAATAGTTTCATATTTGTCTAAAAATAAATTCGTAGTTTTGATAAATCGATGGCTTACGGACAGGCGACAAGGAATGAGAGAGAGAGTGCTTTTCTGTCTCCGCGCCGTCATCGTCTACATCGAGTTGGGATCAGGATAGAGATTTCACTCGAATCCTGATCCTCTTAAGTATTTCGGGTATTTCGGGTGCTTAAACGGCTTGGGGACCGTCGAGGGACACCCAGGAAGACGACGTGTAAGGTAGTTAGCGGCTCGGCACT